CTCCAAGGGCGAGGTGCGCGCGCAGCTCCTCCAGGTCCGCGGGGGTCCTGCCCCCGACGACGGCGGCGGCGACAGCCGACTGCGACGGCGCAGCCCCCGACGATGACGGTGGCGACGTCGGCCATGGCGGCGACGGCGGCGGCCACGGCGATGACGGCGACAACGGCGGCGGCGTCGACGACGACGGAAGCGACGACGACGGTGGCGGCAGCGGCGCGGCGGCGGCGACGGCGGCGGCGGCAGCAACGACGGCGACAGCGGCAGCGGAGACGGCAGCAGCAGCGGCGGCGGCCTGTGAGAGGAGGCCCCGCCAGGGTCCTGGCCGCGCATATGCGTGCCGCGGCCGTCTCGTCGATGGTGCTCGAAGCCCAATCACCCACAGCCTCCGCGCGGCTCTGGGCTGGCAGGTGTTCCCGGCTTGCACTCATCACTGCACCGACCTTGCAGATGTGCTGCAGCGGATTTGCGCGTTGATTCCTGTCAATGCAAAATCCCGAAACGGCGAGCAAAATGCGAAGTGAATTTCACGTGGATTATTTTCAGTCCTCATTCCTGGCCAGAACAAATCCGCACGAATTGCACTTCGAAGTCCAGAACGAAATTCTCCAGGACACTCTAGGCCCATCATATTGAAATCCGAACGAGATCCGCTCTGCGATCTTGGCGCCATGACACTCAGCCTAGAAAATCGCGACGCCCACAAGAACAAGGGATCCGCCACCGTGCCGCAGGGCACGCGTCGGAGTGTCCGCAGGCCATCTCAGCATTCAGTCCTCAGTATTTGGAAATTGGATATTAACGAGCCCAGACCCGCAATCGCCAACTCCTTCGGATGTGCAGCGTGTTCCCGCAGACCTCGCCGAGATGGCCTCAAGACGGCTCACCAGGAAGGCTTTAGTAGGACCCCACGGAGACCCAAAGAGCAAAAAAACATATGGGTTTTGATCAGATGTGGGCGTTCATACATTTTCGGGCTTCCAGCGCTCCAAGACACCCAAAGAGGCCCCCCGAATGGCCCAAAGACCGCCCAAGAAGGCCCCAAGACGGCCCAAGGGGCCTCCAAGACGGCCCAATGGGGGCCCAAGACGGCCCCAAGAGACGTCCACGATAGGGGACCCCGAACTGACACGTCGAAAACTCCGCCCCAAGATGGCCGCGAGACCCCCCCAGAGGCCCCCGAGTGGCCCCAAGAGGTCTCCCAAAAGGTCCCGAACGAGCCACCAAGAGACCCCAAAAAAACCCTCCAAGAGGCCCCCGAGAGGCATCCCAAGTCAATATGCAGGAGTAGTCGTGCTTACTTATTGCATATGTGCCGCCACGCTTTTACGCCTGACACAGACGCGACATGGGTCAGATAAAGAACTGACTTCTTCCCACACACGCCAGCTCCGCCCACTGCTCAGGCGGACGATTATCCCAAGCTTGAGGAGGCACAGCAACGCCAGAGTACACAGTGCAAGGAACATTGCTCACGTGCATCCTTGCGGTGTGTGCGGGGAGACACATCAAACGCGGGCCGTGGCTTGACGCAGCACATGGTACAGACGCTGATGTAATGGTGTCTCGTCTGATGGCACTGAACGACCCGCAGAGAAAAGACTTCTTCATGCGCGTGGAATGGTGTGCGCGCGAACCTCCGCCGTAACCCCAACCGAGAGAGGGGTGCAGGCCGATGCTGCACGTGAGGCTTCAACCTGATACTAAAAGTTAAAAAGCCACAGGCCACGAGGAGGTAAGAGCGGAGAGGGGAGAGGAAGAGTAGGAGGAGGAGGAGGAGGAGGAGGAGGAGGAGGAGAAGCGAGGCGAGAGGGTGGTGGTGGTGGTGGTGGTGGTGGTGGTGGTGGTGGTGGTGGTGGTGGTGGTGGTGGTGGTGGTGGTGGTGGTGGTGGGTGGTGGCGGTGGTGGTGGTGGTGGTGGTGGTGGTGGTGGTGGTGGTGGTGGTGGTGGTGGTGGTGGTGGTGGTGGTGGTGGTGGTGGTGGTGGTGAATAGGTGTCTTCTGCCGTATGACCATCCAGTAAGGGGCAGCCCCACTCACTTACCCACAACCCCTCCTACTCGCAAGAGGGCTTTCGCGAATGCTGCTCCGTGACAATCGGGCCTCGGGCAAAGCCTCGAAGATTCGAGGCCGAGGTTCCAATGCACCCAAGGCATCGCCCTCTTGCTCCATCATTGCTTCGCCATCTCATAATTATATGGTGAGGAATTTGTGCTCAGCGTGTCGCCACGGCGGCTCCGGCGACACGCTATGCCTTGCAAGCGGATAGCGTGTCGCTCTGCTCCGCGGGGCGGGATGCTGGGAACAGCTGAGCACGTGGGCGCCCGGGGACCGCGAAGTGGATAGCGTGTCGCGCCGAGGCGTGGTGGGCCAGAATCGGCGGAGCGACACGCTATTTAAAGGTTCCCGACTACAACATTGGGGGAAGGGTTGGAGAGGCCCCCCAAAAGAACGCCCCAAGAGGGCACCTGAGCAGGCCCGACGAAGGAAATGTACAATGACTTTCCTTAGGTGCTTCAGCGATGTCCTACTTGTTCTTGTCCTTTCGGGCGCCCGTCGCCTCAAGACGGCCCCCAGAAGGCCTTGAAGATGGCCCCAAAACGGCCACGGAGGGCCCCTAACTGATGCAGGAGGCCTCCAAGAAGTCCCTAAGATCGCCCCGAATCGGGCCAAAAGGCTCCCTGGACAGCCACATGACGGCCCAAGAGGACCCCAAGACGGCCCCACAGGCCCCCCATGAGGCCTCCCACGAGGGTTCCAGGGGCCCCCATGAGGGACCCTTAAAGGTGAATCCGAACTGACATGCCGAACCTTTCCCGAAACATGGCCCCCGAAACTGTCAGCAGACCCCATAAAAAGGGGAATCCGAACTGACATGCCGAGCCTTTCTCGAAACAGGCCCACCAGAGGCGCCCAGAGACCCCAAAGGCTGCCCCAAGAGGCCTCAGGTCTCAACAAGCTGCCAAGAGGGCTCCGAAACCCCTCCCGAGAGACACCACGAAGCCTCTTGAAGAGGCGTCTTGTCAACGACACCGTCTGGCCCCAAGCGTGCCACAAGAAGCAACCGAGTCCTCCTCCTGTTCCTCCTCCTGCTCCTCCTCCTGTTCCTCCTCCTCCTCCTCCTCCTCCTCCTGCTCTTCCTCCTGCTACTCCTCCTCATCATCTTCCTCCTCCTCCTACTCGCTTCTCGCTCGCTCGCTCGCTACCTGAGGGCCTCAGAGGCTCGAAGCCCATACTCGAAGGATGAGAGAAATGCGAAGACAGTACCCCTTAACATGCACGTGCAAAGACAGGGGAGGGTGACGAGGGCGACTCTAGTGACGATCGTGGCTGTCCTCACATAAGCGGTCCCAGCGAGCAAAGTCGAGAGCAGTCCAACAAAGGCAGCCGTGGTCGAGACTCGCTCGACAAGCTTGGTCTCAGCTGTGTGCTCATGTGCTCACAGCTGTGTGGGCACATTCCCTGACACAGGCCCGAGCAGAGGGCCTCCAAGGACGCAGTACCATAGGCAAGCAGAAAAGAAGGATTCAAGTGCCTGGCCCCGAAGGCACACCCGTCAAAATCGGCCCTGACCGTCCCTGGGATTTGGGCAAAAACGTTCACCTCGGGCATGATGAGAAGATCGGGTCCTCCATAAGCTCTCCTAGGCAACACAAGCACAAGAGGAATAGCATGCAAGGTGCGACACAAGCATAAGTCAAGAACAGCTTGGAAGTACCGATTCTCGCGGCTGACAGGCTCAACCAACTTCGCGTTGTTCCGTGTGTGACCCCACGAGTGCCCATCCCTTTTGCAACTTTCCACTTTCCAAGAGCGACAGGGTGGATCCGAAAAGAGCGCAGCCACTCTCCCCTCGGAATACCCCCTCCTCCAACCGGCTATATCCTGGGGGTCAAGAATGGGAGAACAGGATAAGGGGAGAGGATGCATCTGTGGCAGGCGTCCCTGAAGGCTCGTTTCTGGGAAGAGCTGTCCTCCCATTCACGTCCCACTTGAAAAATGCCAGCGTGCTCTGTCAACTGAATGGGGGTGGCCGGCAGGTAGGCGAGCTCGGGCCCAAGGTCAGCAGGGGCAAGAGGTGAGACAACCTGGGGTTCCCGAGGTCTCTTGAACAGCGGCCGAAAGGGGCGTCCTTGAACTTTCAAGGCAGGAATGGTGTCGCGAGTGTAAGAGAACCCCTGTCGTCTTTTCTCCCTGGCCGTCGTGCGTCTTTCGCTGACGGCCGCCTCAATTGCCTCGGCAGTGAGTCTGAGGGGGGAGTTGGGCCAAGTCTGGAAGCAAGAGGAGGCGCTTCGACAGTCTGTTTCCCTCCCGGAACTCCCAGCAACAAGTCCGACACATCGACCCCACGGCAATAGCCTCGGGAGTGCCATGGCCTTGATGGGCCTTGGTGCGATGGATGCGAAAAAGGCGCATCGTCATGGCCACGCGGCCACACTCGTAGCAAGCATATCCGCCAGGTGGCAGGTCTGGCGACATTGGCGAAGCCAAAAGACGATGCAGCTCAGAACTCTGCGAGGCTTCAGCAGCCTCGCTCTCGACATTCACTGCATGATGCCAGAAGCTATGTGGGTCGAAAAGCTTAAACTCCTCATCCCCATTCTGCGCGCTGGCATCGAAACTCGCATGCACATGCTGTTCTGGCAACGAGCTGCAAATACTGTTGCTTTGCTTCACGAGCCAGCCGCAGGAAATCGCTATCGTCAAGACCACGTGCGTCTGTCCCCCATGAGTCTCCTCAACCAATGAAACTCATTCCTCTGCATTTATCTTACAAATTCCTGACTGTCGGCGATCCTCTACGCATGATGCGGGGCAGTAGCCTCAGACCGGCAATCGAAAAGGCAGAGCTGACCGACAGTCTGTCCACATTAGAAATTGCGTCGGTAATCGCTGCCTGCGCCCCCCTCGAGTTTGCGACTCCGAGATTCAAAGGGGTACGAAATATACTCATATATCCAGCGATCGCCCTGGCCATCAGATACTTAAGGGCAATGGGCCCCCACGCACCCGCTGCAAAGGGAAACTTGGACCCCGCGAAAGCTTCACTGCACGTCGCCTTGCGCGCAAGCTCCAGAGCCACGCATGGCGCCACCACCTTCCCGATTGGTCCACGTGCTGCCCGCGCTGATCGCACGCGCACCGTTAACTCATCCCCCAGAGACCCTGGGCCATTAACGCCGGCCCCTAAAACTTTGCAGCTGCGGAGAATGGGTAACTTGAAATCAAACAGCTCGCTCGCCAAGAAACTGCCGCCAATTTTGCAATGCTTCCTCGCTTCTGGTCTGGAACCAGTCCAAGTGAAAGACATGAACGCAGCTGCTTTGATGAAGTGCATCTTGAATCCATGTTGCGCGGCAACTGTGCGATCATCTCCGCGAGTCGTC